ATTTCAGTTCAGATTCCTCTCTAGCTCAAATTTAACAATTCTACCATAATTCATGAGAAGGTAAGTGTTTCAATATTAAAAAAAAACTAATTATATCACCAAAAATAAACAAAAAACAACTGAACAAAACGTTCTTCTATTAAAAAAAATCTTCTATGAAATTTTTCTACAATTTTCGTTAACTTAGAAAGGGTGTTGTGTGGAAAAAATTTGATTCACCTGGTACACAAATACTTTCCACAAAAAGTAAAATAAATGTAAAAATTTAAGAAGAAAATCTACTTTGCTGAAATCAGCATTTCCTCCAAAAAATATTTTTAGTATAAAAAATTTTCAAAAAATGTCTTTTGTAAACTAAAAAAAATACTTTTAAAATGAACGAAATATGTATTTACTACAGTAGAATAATTATTGAATTGTTTATTTTTTCGGAGTATTTGAACATTTAAATAATTCTGAAATATAATTACCCAAAAATAAAAAATGTTTTTTAGACATTTAAGAAAACATTTTTTATTATAAAATTAATATTTTTTTGACAAATGGCCCAAATATTTCAGTTCAGATTCCTCTCTAGCTTAAATTTAACAATTCTACCATAATTCATGCGAAGATAAGTGTTTCAATATCAAAAATAAACTTATTATTTCCTCAAAATTGAATTATATCACCAAAAATAAACAAAAAATAACTGAACAAAACTGTACAAAACGTTCTTCTATTAAAAAAAATCCTCTATGAAATTTTTCTACAATTCTCGTTAAAGTAAAATAAATGTAAAAATTGAAGAAGCAAATCTACTTTGCTGAAATCAGCATTTCCACCAAAAAATTTTTCTTTTATGAACTAAAAAATATTTTCAAAATAAGCGCAATATGTATTTACTACAGTAGAATAATTATTGAGTTGTTTATTTTTCCGGAGTATTTGCACATTTAAATAATTCTGAAATATAATTACGCAAGAAAAAAAATGTCTTTTAGATATTTAAGAAAACATTTTTTATTATAGAATTAATAATTTTTTGACAAATCTATTCACCCAAATATTTCAGTTCAGATTCCTCTCTAGCTCAAATTTAACAATTATACCATAATTCATGCGAAAATAGGTGTTTCAATATCAAAAATTGAATTATATCATCAAAAATAAACAAAAACCAACTGAACAAAATTGTACAAAACGTTCTTCTATAAAAAAATCTTCTATGAAACATTTCTACAATTTTCGTTAAATTAGAAAGGGTGTTGTGAGGATAAAATTTGATTCACCTGGTACACAAATACTTTCCACAAAAAGTAAAATAAATGTAAATATAGAAGAAGAAAATCTACTTTGCTGAGATCAGCATTTCCACCAAAAAATATTTTCAGTATAAAAAATTTTCAAAAAATGTTTCTTTTATGAGGTAAACAGTAGAATAATTTTTAATTGTTTATTTTTCCGGAGTATTTAAACATTTAAATAATTTTGAAATATAATTACCCAAAAATAAAAAAAATCTTTTCGACATTTAAGAAAACATTTTTTATTATAGAATTATTATTTTTTCCAAATATTTCACTTCAGATTCCTCTAACTCTGAAATGACCGATTTGTATCGCAAAATCAAGATTTATTAATATCAAAAAGCAAAAAGCGTAGAATTCGAGTTTTCGTAATTTTTCGCCAAACCTTAATTTGCTGGAGTATTTCCGTTCGGACTCAGGTTCTGACTCAGAGTCTCGCCGACTTTTGGATCTGCGTCTCCTGTGTTTCCTGTGTGATCGATTGGAGCTTTTCGACAATTCACTCTCATTGTCTGAAGTTAACTTACTCCGACGTTTGCGTCTGAAAAATGGTCTTAACGACTCGTATTTTTCGAATAAAAAGATTACTTTTTACACGATCGCGAATCGTTGGAACTTTGGCTATCGAGTGAGGACGATCTATACCTGGGCCCTGCTGATCGCACCGATCTCGGACTGATCGGAACAGAGTTATTATAAAGCCCTTTGGAATGTGGTTGCGACCAAGGGGCGCTTTTAATGCTCCTCGGCGAGTCAGCTCTTTTCGTCTCGTCGGCGGCGTTGGCATTGAACGGCGGGTGTGAACCTCCAAAACTGCAAAAATTACTTTTTGTTGGAGTGGTTTGAGACTTACTTTTGTGCGGGTTGGGGTACGGAAATAAACTTGGTTTCTTGTGGCGGTGGTTGATATTGAGTTCGTCCGTAAGTTTCATCAGTTGGCAACTCTGTAAAAACAGAATTACCATAAAAGAATCGCTGGGAATTTCTCGTTTACGTTCAGATATTCCCTCAATAATTCTTCTTTGGTATCGTCTTGAAGGTGTCCTCGAGAAGGCCGGAGGGGTCCTCACTTTCATTTGGGCGTCTCTGACGGCTTGTTTCTCCGTCCGGCCACTAATTTTTATTTTTTAATTTAGTTATCCAAAAAAATGTGGTAATTTACCTGTATCTAAACCTTGAACCTAGTGCGAAAATATCAGGCGTAGTTGGGGTCACCTGAACCAACCTGAAAAAGGCGTGGTGTTCGACGCAACATTTCCATAGATGTTTGCATCCCGATTTTGATGGTGTTTCAAATCCGTACGTGCTTTCATCGTTCTGAAACGTTCAATGTTGGGTTTAGGAGGGATTGGATAAATTTACTAACGTTTTTATCGATGACTCTTAACATGAAATATCGGCCTTTAAAATAAATTTTTGTAATCCTTGGCCAGTAATAATTGCCCACTGTTGTTTTGTTCCTCAGCACGATTATACCGCTCGGTGTTAATCCCAGAAAATACTCAACACTGTCCTCCCCCTACATTCACCAATCAAAATCGAACAAAAATTATTTGTTTTATTTTATTTTACCAAAACTGGGTGGAGATCAACGCCGTACATTTCCAGCCATTTTACTTTTTCGAGGTAGTTTAGTTCCGCTACAGATGGTAACTGACCTCTAGAAGTGAATCAAGATTATTATTTATTTTCTTTCTTGCAACAATCGACTTACACTAGAGTTTTATGAATTTCTGCAATTCGCGTTTCAAGATCTATACTCTGATTAGGCAGGAAACGAAATTCTGATACGTAACCCTTACTGTGACGGCGGGGGTCATAATCACCAAGCTCAGCTAAAATTAACTATCACTACATTCATCACAATTGAAAACTACTCACATTGCACCACATACGCCCCCAACTCAGCTGCCAGCTCAAACGGCACCAGCAAACGCTCCTGCAATATGTCCTGCTTCACTTGCAGGAAAAATTGATACCTAAAATACCGGTCCTCAATTTTAAAACATACTCAAATCTTCTAAAAAACAAACGAAAAATGGCAGTTAAGTCGACAAAGGATGTGAAAATCGTTAAATTATTATTTAATGACGATAATGAGTGCTATCATAAGTAGATAAAAGTCCACATAAAAGGTATTTTAGCAAGTAATTGTCATTCTAAAAAACATTTCCGACATTCATCAATGTGACAACATTTTTTGAATTTTTAACCAGTGTGACTTACAAATTTATTTCCAAAAAACTTGGCAAGTTTCAAATATCCGGTGTTCTAATTATTTTTGCTTTCTAATTACGCTGATTTAGAGAACCAAATTCTCTGATCCAAATATTCTAAATTTTTCTGTATTTATAACCATAGAGCATTTCTTTATAATTACGTATTATTACCATAATTTTTCATTTTTTTATTTACATGATTACACTATGCGTTTGTAGTTTTACCAAAAAATATTTTTGAGATTGGCAATTGTCGATAACATTGACTTCCTTGTATTTTAAATAATTTCTTTTTTAAGTTTAAAATAAAAGTTTATGTTTCGACAAGTGTTAAAAAGCCCAAGTTTAAATATTTCAAAAATTTGATCGAATTTTACAACAATAAAACCTTTAGATATTCCTCTCATAATTTATAACGCATATTTTTTTACTCGTTGGACTATTAAAGATCTTTATTAAACTCAAACTGTGATTTCATTACCCCAAAAATTTAAGGGAACAAAAATATTTCTTAAATTTCACAGAATCTCAGTGAAAATAGTGGTATTTAGATTAGGAAAAAAAATTTGAAGCTTCAAGTTTCTAATTGTGAGATATGCTACAAAAAAATCTGTGCTACGGGCATCACGCCCGTAAGCTAAGAAATAGCGCAAGAAAAAAAATGTAATTTTTTTTTGTTTTTGGTTCACGGAATATTTTAATTTGGTTAAATCAATGCATGGACCAGATAGCCTATATTCATTCCACTTTCATATGCTTTTTTATATTCTTTTATGTCAATTA